TCAGATTTAGAAGGCATTTTAAAAGTATTTACCTTGACTAAAATACATGTCTTAAAGCCCTTAAAATACCCTTAATTTCCAGTCTGGGAGTGTTGAATACAAATCGTCGAATGGAGCACTATCTTAAGGTCCAAAGAAGCTCTTAGCAAGCTTTAAATAGTGTCGGAGCCTGCAAAAAGCATGTTTAAAGCTGAAGGTTTCTTTTTGTGGGGGTGGGGGGTACAGCAGCAAACATATAAGATATGTGTATTGGTAGGTATCCCTTTACTTGCAGCAGCTACTTCTGGCAACAATTGTCCTCTCACTGCCCCCTTCAAAATCAGTGGATCTTACACTCAGCAGCACTTTGAGAGGCTGGAAGAGGAGACTGTCACCAGCTGCTCTGTAATGTTGTGCCACTGGCCCACCACCCTCTGCTCTCTCCTCTGAATGATGGAAGCCAGCAGAGCGTCACCACATTCACTAGGCTAAAGTCAAATTGCTTTGCAAAGCGAACATTCTATTTGCTTTATACCAATAACAATGTGTAAAATAGGATGGGTGCTGAAAGGGTGAGGGCGTGACACCACACCCCTGTATATTATAACAACATATAAAACAACAAAACGGGGCTATTTAGGTGCCAAAGGAAAACTTTTTTTTACAAACTCACGTCTAAATAAAAAACATTTTATTATTAATTCAGATTAAAATCTTAAGTCTGATTAATTTCAGTCAGTCTCACTCTCTGAATGTTACTTTTTATTTAACTGAAGGTATTCTGACTCAGATTGTTGTGATAGCGATGTATCCCTTGTGAGACCTCTATGCCTGACCTGTATAAGTAGATTCAATCACTGCGGACAATCATTGTCAGATAGCTGAACTCACCAATACCGTGTTCATCCACAAAGGTTGCTTTATTCTGTACGTGCAGACAACAGGATAACAGCGATGAATGGTTACAGTATTATGCGGTCAAAAGATGATGCCTTTCCTACGGTACTATGCAGAGTACATGTGTCCTGATTGCATGTTTCCTGTTAGCTGTTGCCATGGCACAGGAAATACTGACCAACAAGAAGAAGGGTGGGGCTTACATACAGAGCAACTGTCATCACATGAGGAAAGGAATACAGAAAAACAGGTGCAATATCACAAAAGGCCACTAGATGGCAGCATGTGAACTAGACATATAAAAACGTCCATAGGAAAAGGTATAGGGAAACAATCTATATAAATTCTCATCTATATAAAACTTTTATGCCCCATTGGGGGCATAATATAATAGGAATGAGACTTCATAGTACAGAGGTAGTGCTGGGTACTCTAAAGTGGGCCACAGGCAGCAAAAGATGCAAGTAAGCAATTCACACCAATTTAATTCACCCAATCTTTGGCTACATGTAAAAGTATTTTTTTTTCTCAGGTGAAAAAGAAGGATCAAATAATAGAGGAGAATATAAGAAAGAGCAAGGCCGTTGAAGAAAACAAAGAGCAACAACAATGGAAAACCTTGGCCTCATCTTTGAAAAAAGGACTCAGGGGAAATTTCTGTTCCGGAATATCACATTTGGAAAAATCAATCAACTCTCTGCAGACACGTAGCGTCAGATATCAGGCACAGATGGAGGCGTTAACCATGTGTTATGAAATATGGCTTGAACACTGCAAAACTGTGTGTAAGTATTTTACTGTACATTATGTATTGTAAATTATTTGACAAAATATACAAAATTGACAATAATATTGCATGATTAGAAGACTTTGTCTATATTATAAGCATTTCTGAATAAATACTTGGATGCAGGAACATTAATGCATGATTTATATATCTCTGACCATCAGTGGTGGATTCCCGCCCCCCCCCCTCCCAGGAGAATTACCACTCCCTCCCTCCACCGCTCTGCTGGGCCCAGCCGGCCACACCGAACAATCGGGGCCCGAAAGCAGGGGCTGCACAGTAGTCAGGCAAGTAGGTGGCCGACTAAGGCCATGCTGGCATGGAAGGTCAGGTGAAGTCTGTACCCCACAGCTAGGATTGAAGGTCAGGTCAATGGTGGATCTGGGGGGAGGGTAACAGGTAGGGCTGCAACAACTAATCGACATAATTGATTATTGAAAAAGTTGTCAAATTTTTCAATCATCGATTAATCGGCTTCCCATTGGTTTGCCCTGTTCACGGCTCCACACGCTGCGCGACAGACCTCCTCCCCACCTCACGCTTGCCGCTGCCAGAGCGGCCCGCATCCACGCTCCACATTAATCGGCTAACTAATCGATTTTGAAAATAATCGTTAGCTGCAGCTCGAGTAACAGGGCAATTTTCACAGGGAGATGCAGCGACAATTCCATGAAAACCTAGGAGCAGCCCATCAATGAGGAGCAGGTGTGTGCCCATGTGCTACCAGTGTGCCCAGGGACTGGCCCAGAGCTCCCTGGCACCAAGGACCAGGATACGGGCCCAGGACCAGTCCTCTATAGATGATAGTATTCTGCATTGCTGTATAATGTATTGCTGAGATTTGTAGTCGTCAAAAGCAGTGTTAATTTAGTCGACTAAAATGTTTTGTCATAGTTTTCATTATCTGCATGTTTTCACTGATGAAGACTAAATAAAAAATGAAGTTAAAAAGAACTAAACATTGATGAAAATACATTACAATTTTTTCTCTACTGGAGATTTAGTCGACAAACTAGAACTAAAATAATTCAGATGACTAAAATGTGACTAAAACTAAAATGCATATTTTAGTAATCTTGGATTTGTAGTCCTCTATAGCTGAAGGTATTATTCTGCATTGCTGTATAATGTATTGCTGGGATTTGTAGTCCTCTATAGTTGGTGGTATTCTGCATTGCTGTATAAGGTATTGCTGGGATTTGTAGTCCTCTATATAAGTGGCAGAACTTCCAGGGTCACATAGTTGCAACTGTGACTGGGCCCTAGCATTCCGCCACTTGGGTGGGCCCAGACAAGAGGAAGGGGGCCGACATTGCAGGTTACTGGGCTCACCTTCCTTCAGTCTGGGGACCTCCTATATATATATACAGTATGTGTGGACTGTTTTACCTACCAAAAAATTTATAATTTTGTGTAACCAGTCACCCTGTCACCCCTGTCAGACACTCTATGATGGCACAGTTATAGGTCAGTATTGCGCTTCTGCATCTGCATTGCCCATGAAGCAGGCTAAGGCTTGCATTCTGGCCCAAGCTATATTACTTAACTGCAGTGAAGGTACAGGACCTGGCCATACTTTCCATTAGGCGTTTCTTGATCCCAGGTCTGGTTTTAGGACCATTCTCATTGTTGTGATGCATTAATCACACGGTTCCATATGATTAATGCACTGCACGATGCAGGAGGTGCGTTGTGATGACATTTATTTAAATGGCACCCCAAATGTACCTCCCACCCGCAATGCAATTGATTGCACCTTAACGCCCAGTACCACAATACTGTGCGTTGCTGTGCGATTAAAAAAAGTAGTGCATGCTTTGGTACTTGATCAGGGCAGTTGTCTGTTGTGTTTATTTTGATATCATTGAGATTAGACTACTGTTATATGTACACTTTTCTTGTCCCATTGTTTCAGCTGAAGACCAGAGAGATATGAACATTCCAGTGGAAATTATGAAGATTATACATTCTATCATGGCTAATCACAAAGATATGTTACAACAGGCAGATAAACACAGGATAGCTGCTTATGTTAGCCTACTAGGTTTTGAGAACCTGGCCTGTTCTTTGAAGGGATCTGAGGTATTATTATTTTTTCTTAAAACTCGCCATCCTGAAACAAGTAAAATGATGTACCTAAATTGGATGAGAATATGTAATATTTATGCACTGACACTAATGCTGATGGAGTAATATGATGGAAGCAAAATCCGCACTGTCTGTAAAGTAGAGAAAATTGTCCTGTTTTACTAACATAGAATGTACTCTAGTAATTTGTGCTTTGTCAGTCTCTTGTTTCAGGGTCTGTTCACACCCAGGCTGCTCTGGAAAAAAACACCCAGCACAGCCCGAATTGGGTGTGAACAGGCTGTGAAACAGAAAGCAATTTGTGTGCCTTGTCATGGATGGGCTTGGTTCACACCACCACATTGTGGTGGTGTGCTCTGAAAAAACGTACGGCATGCGTGATTCAAATGCATCGCACCACAGTGTGCCCATAGAACTTAAAGGAGAGCTATGAGGTGAGTGATTTTCACTCATCCTCATAGTTAGAGCTGACATGTAACAATGAAACTGTCACACATCGGCTCTATAGATCGGGAAGTGAGTGAACACATACCGTCGCTCGCTCACTTCCCGATCATCTCCCTGCAGAGAACGTGACTGTCAGTCACTGCTCCCCACAGGGACCCCCCCCCCCGATCCTCCAGCGCTGACTGCAGGAACGAATGGGGGAGGGCACAGCTGGCTCTGCCTCTGGATAGGCAGAGCCCGCTGTCAATCATCTAGCTGAGTGGATCTTGACAGTATTGTCGGGATCTGTCCCGGCTGATCTCGGTATATAGCTCGCTATAGCTTTCTATATACTGAGCTTTGGGTCACAGGAGGAGGTTAGTATATGTCCTCCCATGACCCTTAAGAGAACTGTGGGATAAAAAGGTTACCCCATAGTTCTCTTTTAATGAAATGTCACTTGTGAGATTTCAATAAAGTTCTAACAAAAAAAAGAGAAAGTGCAGTGCGTCTCATTCATGCACATCAGCACTGTGCCGCACACACGTACACCAGCAGCCGTGCGATGTAGCATGGCTGCTGGTGTGAACAAGTCTTCAAAGAAAGACACTAATACATACATTATACAAACTTTATAATAATACATTGTTTATCAGGCTAATAACAATTTTTAAGATTTGCTTTTATTATCTAAATATTGATCTAAAGTGAGTCGCTTTGATTAGCAGACATCAGCACAATCTGTTAGTGATAATCAACGTGACTCACAGCAATGCAACAGTTATTTTGAATAACATAAAAAATGTAAATACATTTACAGAGCACAGAAAGTAAAACAAATAGTTATGGAGTTGGAGTTGGTTCGGCTCGTTTTCAGATGAAATACATGGGAACATACCTAATGAGAGATGAGAGGACAGACCCTGACCCGAGAGTGCAACATTTCATTCCAGATACATGGCAGGTAACCAATATGGTGAAATGTTAAAAGCAACATACAGAACTACACTAAAACAGCGCCTACATTTGAAATGGGCAGCAGCAGAGAGGAAGCAGTGATGTAACACATGAACTTCAACTAGTAGTAGTAATAGCGTGGAAAATGTTCTAAAATCCTTTCAATCCTTGAAAACTTTTCCTAAGGAAGTATGGTAATACCACTGCTGAGCATGCTAGCTGGTTGGATGGATGTAAATCTAGTTATACAGATGAGGAAAGTCTGAGAAAAGGCAGAATTACTGGTTCCGAGTCAAGGACTGTAAGAGGGTCAGCAAGACAGGCAGGCAACTAGACTTTGGCTACACAGCATAGCCAGGTTGGTGACCTGACTTCATATAGGTGATATAGCTTGGCCATCCCCCTGCTCCCAGATTAGACAGGTAAAAAGCAACAGCAGGCTAATAAATTCATCCAACTGCTCACTCTGCTCTCTACTGCCATCAGCACATTTCTTGTCATGTTACTTTGGCTGAGCCTGATTGGCTTCTAGAGCTTCCCTTTTCTTTTCCAGTGCTGTTGTACAGCGGATTACGAGAGGCTAATACCTAGCCAAAGTGAAGTACTTATTATATTCTATTTACATTTAATGATTCTTCGGTCATGCATTACATTTTTTGGATTTGTTTTACTAACTGCATGATATATGCCTGCTGTAGATTTTTCCAGCTAGGCATCAACGTGACAGAGATATCCTTCCTATGCGTATTTGAATGAATAAAGATGGGAAAAAAATTACAGCTTTGAAAGGCTTTTCCTTGAGCTAGAAGCATGATAGAGACCCAAGAGAACCAACTGCTCTACTGGCAGTTTAGGTGATATGACACCTGCATTTCTTGAACGGTTCAGAGATGTAGCAAATTGATTTGGTAGATAAATAGATTATATCACCCTTAAATTCTGCACCATATTATTTCACTCCAGATCCAAATAACTCAATCACACTAAGGACTCAGAGTGAGCATTGCAATTCTGCAATGTCCTTTACCATGCATCATATTTCACTGTATTTCAATGAAAACGTCACCTTTAATATGCTAATTTGTGTCTTCTGTCAGAGGGAACTCCTTGATGTGGTTGACAATTATGAATCTGCTGTAATAGTGGCTCCCACCTCATCAGGAAAAACCTATGCCTCTTACTACTGCATGGAGAAGGTGCTGAAACAAAGCAATGAATCAGTTGTGGTTTATGTTGCTCCTACTAAGGTAAGCTAATGTCCTCTTACAGATTTGAAGACCCTTAAATATTTAACATGAAGAGACAACCTGCCCGGGTCAATTCGTAGGGGGAGTTTGTCTAATCCTGCTTGAAATCTGCAAACCCAAAGATAGCAGTGAACCTCATTGAAGTCTATGGGGGCGAATCTTGATACTAAATTTTGGCCATTTTGAACACTAATAGGCAAGGTATTGTAAAATGGGCATGGGGAACTGGGCACTACCATAAGGAAAATTTAATAAAGCAAAAAAAAATACACTACAGCGGGGATTGGATCCATTTAATGAACCTTTGAAGGTGACATGGGAAAAACACCAATCGTTTAAATTACATGATTGGGAGATAACTTTAAGTTGTATGTGGTGCTACAGAATAGTATGAGGGTTATTCACTAAGGAGTTGAAGGATCTAGCTGTATCTTCGGCTGATCATTCGGCTCACTTCGGCCGCCAGAGCCCAAAGGGTTGCTGTACAGGCTATTCACTATAGCCTGTACAGCAGCCGAAGGCAGCTGAGCGGCTCAGCAACCTGGGACACTCTGGCCCCAAAGGTAGAGGCAGGCACATCTGCCACCCTCCCTTTCCCCCCACGTGACCTAATGAGATGCCACCTGAGGCAACCATAGTAGTTGTGAAAACCATAAAAATAATATGGACCTACAAATAAACTATAACACTTCAATCAACATATGACTGTGCACAATACATATAGTGCTCAAACTATGTTTAAAAGGTGTACCAACCACATACAAGTGATACCCCAAATTTCAAACATACACCATTAATATCAGTACAAAATAAATCAAGGCAACAAGACTTTCTGTATTTTTCTTGAAGACGTTTTACTGGTCATCTGACCACCTTTCTCAATTCAGAATGACTTGTACAAAAATTCTCTGGGAATAAATATGGTGAATGTTGCTTCAATCAACAACATCTGTTAGCCATAATCAGTGTGAGGTCAGAGTATATGAAAAGACAGCAAGAAAAATGGCAGACTATTGTAATAGACTCACCTCCGTCGGATCCAGCGCCGCACTTCGCGGCTGCACACACGGCTGGCGTCCGGCTCCTCCCTCCTCTTCACGCCGGAACACAGCCTTAAGCGGCTGTGAGACGAGAGTTCGGCGTCATACTGTTTTGTTCAGTGAACGCCGAACACTCACCCTGCGCGGCTGCTTGGACTGACCGGGACAATGCGCCCACCTGGACCCACAAGGAGACTCACTCCGGAGCCCTGCATGAGCATCCTACATGCGGCAACACTTGACAGCAGCTCAAACCGCAAGTACTTAGCAGTCTGCACTGCCCTTTGCCATAGCAACTGTATATTAGTTCAGCTCTCCTATACAAAAGTGTGACTGTGTCATCTATGGGTTATCCGTGGGTTCACTAGTAAAGCACTTTGTATTTACCTACATTGAACCCTGCCTTGATTCAAGTTCTGCTGAACACTCTTGTGCCTATGTACATGTCATATTTGCCTATAGCCCTATTTGCTGCCTGCTGACGTGTATTGATACTGGACTAACTATTTGCTAACTGTTGACTGTTCGTTACAATCAATAAAGCTACCGTAGCTTATTACTATCTACATTACTAAAGTAATTGACCAAGGAGTTGCCTCCTACTGCTGAAGGAAATATGTCCATTGGGAACCACTAGTTCTGTTGCATTCCCAAAGGCAACCCTTGCATCTATGTAAGCGACTTCCGTGTCCTTCTTTATTGCACTATTCGTAGTACCCAAATGTAAGGCCACCTGCCTATTACACCCTCTCTCACTAAATGGTTGATGATGTAACTGATTCCAACTCTCCTTCGTTATACTTGGAGAGTGCACCCTGGAATCATACACTGACTAACCGTACTCTGCAGTTGTGATCCTAATCTAAACCTTGCAAAGTGTTAAAAATATAGAAACCACCTGCGCTTTAACCTCAGATGCCAACAACAGGGGCTGGTACCATGCAGCATACGGTACGTTACTCCACAGTAAAGGGCCACAAAGCCAAGCTGATTCTACAGGCCCAGAAACAATTGCTAAATGAATGTGAACGGCAGACCCATTTCACAGTTGATGCCTTGAAACATACTAACAATCAGTTAGAAGAGAGCCTTATTTTGCACCTACCTGCTGATACTTGGACGAGAGTAGCAGGTTTCACAGGACACGCACAGCTAGCTCAGCACATTAAGGGCAAGGAGAGGCAACAGAACAAGTTCTCCATTTTGTTATGCCAAACTGGAAACAGCCAAACTAGAGATTAATTAACTAGAAGGCAGGAGGAGGAAATGGGGACATTGCAAAACAAAGAGAAATGGGTGAAGAACTTTTCAGACAGGGTTCTCACCCAGCCCGAGATGGATGCCCTTGCTAAGGGATTGAATTTTGCGATCACAGAACCTTACCAGTAGTGGATAGTATCTCAGCCACTGAGGCCTCGATCCACAGTAACAAAGTACCACAGGGTGAGGCTGAACAACTTTGCCTAAAAGTGTCTGCAGCCTTAGCCAGTGCCAAACCACCTCAAGAAAAATACAGCAAGTCCAGTTGCCTTGATTTATTTTTTACAGATATACCATGAGCTGGATGAATGAGATATACACCATCAATATCCAGTTAAGATAGTAAATGCATTCCTGCTGAACAGTGAATCATCCAAATAATATAGTGTCCATCCAATAAAGTAATAACTGGTTAAATGTGATAAGAAGTTTCAAATAATTCCAAGGTGCTTAAACATCCACTGTGTTCTTCTCAGTGTACATCAAGGTGCACAAACAAAGAGCTTTTCCTGCACTCACCAGACCTTTTTAACCGGCTGAAAACAGAAGGTCAAAAAGCTTGTGTTTAATCCTCCACGGGTAACCAATGTTTTACTTCAGCGTCTCTCTCTCCTCCCTAATTCACCTCCAAACTCCTGTCCCTGACTGCAATCATGCACCACATCCAAAAGAAAAGGTTGCAGATAGTGTAGTAAACTTATATGTACTTTATTAACCACTTGATGACCGCTGTGTTTACACCCCCTTCCTGTCCAGGCCATTTTTCAGTATTCAGCACTGCAGTACTTTGACATTTATTCCGTCATGCAACGCTGTACTGAAATGAATGTTATACCATTTTTTTGGGGGACAGATAGAGCTTTCTTTTGGTGGTATTTAATCACCACTGGGGTTTTTATTTTTTACTATATAACGAAAAAAGTACCGAAAATTTAAAAAAAAAAAACAGTTTTCCCATTATTATGTTAGGAAACATTTATTATTACCCAACTTTTTGGTAAAATATAAAATTGTACGCGCCCGTGAAATCGCAACAAAACTACCATACCCAAAATTGGCTACAGGCAACGCTTTAAAAGATTTTACCGCTCATCATTTTAGTGTTATGATGGCCCAAAAATTATTGCACACCCAACACATTTTTGTGCATCAATGTGGGGGTGGGGATAAGAATCCCCCTATGTGATATCAAATTACAGTGACAGGTCCCCTTTATGGAGACCCCTAATGTCACCTAACGACCCCTGGAGAAGCTGATGAAGCACAGATCTGCTTCATCAGCTTCTCTCCAGTTTCTGTACTGGAGAGTGAAAGAGTAATGCGGAAGTGATGTAGTAAACATCACTTCCTGCATTCAGAGACTGGGGAGGAAAGCAGAGATCCGTTCTCAGTGCACGGAGCCACATCGCCCATCCTGGATTGGACTCCCGGGGATGGCGACTACAAGGAGAGGTAAGGAGGGGGGGAGGGGCACACAGAGACATGCATCATACAAGTGATCGGGTGTCTTTACAGACGGACCGCTTGTATGTAAAAGGCCATCGCTGGCTGTTTAAAATTCTGGCGGTTTCATGCTCGTGCGCACCAGGGGGCGTGGGCACGAAGGACGTCTAAAGGCGCCCACCCGCATCCAGAAGCCTGCGGTCAGGCCGTTTCTGAACTTCGGCGGATGGGAGGTGGTTAAAACGAGTTATTGTATTCACATAAGTTCAATAAAACCATGCCGACATACAAATAATCAAAGCTCTCTCCTCCTGCTGCACTCTTCGAATGTGATGACGTCAGCAAAGCTCCGCCCCTTGTGCTTTCGTCACTATAGACTTCCTCAAAGAGCATCGGCTGCCTTATTATAGGGAGGGCCCTGGTACGACCCATGAAAAACAATGCTTGATGTACTGTTGGCACTACCACTGAAAAGTATTCCTTTTTTTGCAAAAATGTTCCAGATTATTGTTATTTTCTCTTTTTCCCCCCTCATAGATGCAGGAAAACAGAAAATGTTCCCAGAGCATGAATATATTTAAAACTTATTTAAAAAATGTAAAAATAAATAAATAAAATGTATTAAAAACGTAAATGTCAACGCTCACAAATACGGGATGAACTGATATCCTATTTTTATGACACCGTTAAATTATTACATGCAAAATGATTGATTTTTTTTTTAGATATATGCATTTTGAAAGGATGTTATATAATTTACAGTGCAGTGCTTTGGGTATAAACACTGTAGGTATATGAACACTGGAAAAAGACTATGGGGGTTATTCATAAAGGTGCAGAAGGCAGCCGAGTGCATAACATAGCCGAAGTGAAGTGAGCAGAACGCTGTTCGGCTATTTACTTCAGTCTTGTACGGCTGATTTCAGCCCTACATCTGCTAAAATCAGCCATACATCAGCCATACATCGGGTGCCTTCGGTCAGCCGAACATGGTCTGCATGTTCGGCTGAGCCGAAGTGCAGAAGGAGTTCGACTCAGCCGATCCAACATCTGGATCGGCTGAGCCAAAGCCCTGGCAGCTCACTTGCTGCCGTTCGCCCCTATTCTCACAGGAGCCGAACGGCAGAGAGTGAATAGCCAAATGCCGCCAAGCTATTCTGTACCGAGCAGAATAGAAAACAAGTGAAAAGAATTTTAAAAAAAAGTTGAAAAATATTTTACAAATGTAAAAAAATAGGAAAATGAAAAAATAAATAACAATATTTTAAAGAGAAGAAACAAAAATAAACAAAAACAAAAAAAAACACTGCATGTCGACCCGACCGCATGTGACGGACTCCCGCCTCATAATAAAGCATGCTGGCAAAAGAAAAACAATTGAGAGGAGCTAGCGGTGACAGCTAGCTCCGCCCAACTGTTTCCTATTGGCTGACACCTGCCAGAGTCTTCCGGTCATTGTTTAATGACAGATCAGCATCCCCAAGTCATTTGGGGACGCTGATCCGTCATTACAACTGGGCGGAGTGAGCTGTGAGATCACAGCTGGGTCCGCCTAGCTCTCATTTGCGTGGAGATCAGTCGGCTTTGACCGACTTTTCTCCACACTTCAGCTGTCACTTCGGCTCAGTCGAGCCAAAGCATATGCCTTCGGCTCGACTGCCTTCGGCTGCTGTATGGACTATTATGAATAGCCCGTAGAGCAGCCCTTCGGCTCGACTGAACCGAAGGGCAGAGGTTGCCAAGGAAAGCCGAAGGATCAGCCGAAGCTACGGCTGGATCCTTCGCTCTCTTTAGTGAATAACCCCCTATGTGCGCAGAAATTGCTTTAATTTGAATATGTTGATTACTAAAACATATAGTACATTATGGTTGTCTGTTGGCCTGTGTTTAAACACACTGATATGCTTAGCTTTATGGCATTGTGCTAGTGTTTAAAGACAAAGTTGTCTATGTTTTAATCTTACTGGTGGTTGTCATATTATTAGTTGCATTGTAATTTTTCCTAAGACGGGTTATAAACAATTATTATTCTATAGCCATAACGAACTCCAATTATTATTTCAATTTGAAACAAATTTGTTGATCGCTGATTAGGCATAGTATGCCATTTGTGATATATACAGTATATCTCCTTGCTGATGTCTAGAATCTATAGGCTATAAGTTGCATTATCCTAGCTAACTATTCTTTTCTATGTAATAGGCTCTTGTAAACCAGGTTGTAGCCACTGTAACATGTCAGTTCAACAAAGATCTTCCACTTGGAACGGCGTTATGTGGGGTTTTCACACGGGATTATCGTTATGACGCATTAAATTGTCAGGTATGCATCATCCATTTCGGCTTACAAATGTTTTAATACGAAGCAACTGATTTTTAAAGTGTATGTGAAGGCAAACCTTTTTCTTTTTAACAATATTTTATTAGTTTTTAAAAAGAATAAATAATAACAGATGATAAAAGGAAACATGCA